ATCTACCATGGCATGAGTGAAGAATAAGGCAATTCCTGATCTCTTTCAAAGAATTCAAAATGTAGGGAATTTGAGGCCTGAACACTATGAACTAGAACACAAAGTAGAATAAAACAAGCACTATAAGGAAGTTCACCAAGAGAAAAGAAAGAAGCTATTGATTTTGACTGGGGGAATCAGGGAAGACTCCATAAAAGAGGCGCCTTTGAACCGAACCTTAAAAGATGAACAAGATTTAAATTAGAGATGAAAGAAGAACGAGTGCTCCACTCCATGCTGAAGGAATGGCACAAGCAAATGCTTGGACAGGTAAGAAGGCAGAAGGTGTGTTTGGCTAACAATGAGTAGCCCAGTATAGCTAGAACATCTTGGGACCAGATCAAAGGCTCTGAGCATCCTGCAAGGATGTGGGACCTTTGGTAATAGGATATAGTAAAGATTTTTTTAAGAAGAACAATAAGAATAATTTAAGCCTTGTTATAGGAAGATGACTCTACCAATATACCTGAAAGGTACATTGAATATTAAAGTGGTAAAGGATAAAAAATAAAATAAAAAAATAAAATTTAATAAAATTTAAAAAAAAATAAAGAGGCAAAGGACTAAAAGTGGGGTTGTAATGATCCAAATGAGAAAGAATGAGGCTGGAACCAGGACAATAGCGCTGGGTGTGGAGAGAAAGAGGGTGTGGCCACTCTAATCTCAGTGACATCCCTGAGAACAATACATGTTCTTGGGCAAAGCAGTTACTCTCTCTGGGTCTCAGTTTCCCTCTCTGTAAAAGGAGATTTATGACTACCTATAGGTCTCCTTCCCTGGATTATTATGGGATGTGTAATCACCAAAATCAGGTCAAGTGCTCTACAGGGATAAGGAATTATTAACATTAATGATGATTTATAAGGTCTATCAGCAGAAAAGCAGATGCTCAGAGGCAAGTGTGAGACTCAGCACTAAGGTGGGCAGGCAGGACTTGCCCTTTTCTTGAGGGCTTTCCCCTTTAAGCCGCTTGAAGTTCTTACAAAATCCCCTAATACATGATTCCAACAAATCCTAAATCAACCACCCAGGCTTCGTCTTCCTCATTTTCGACTCTAACCTGGCCCTTTGCAGCACTAGTGCATCTTAGCTCGTGTTTTCCCGTAGCCACACATCCCAACAGCAGGACATATTTAGAAAGCAACAGAAAAAGCCCACATCTCACCTGAAGCTTAATGTCTGTAGGCAAATGAGGAATAGTTCAAATTTTCTTATTAAGCAGATGGGCCATCTTCTCTGACAGGAGAAAAGAAGGTAATACAAAATGTAGATCCCTGGGGACAAGACTAGGGCTATTATGCTGAACATGTATCTCATTCTTTTCTGGCAGGCAAAGGTGGCAGTAGGAGGTGACACTATTCAGCCTTTTAAGTGATGCATTTAGCTTCAGTGTGACACTTTAAGGAGCCTTAAGCAGAAATCCCTGTGGCATTCTCAGCTTACCTTCTATTCCTCTTTTCTCCCCCATCTGCCCCCAAGACCACTGCCAGACCCTTCTCCCAAGGTCCAGTCCTGATTATGCATTTGCTTATAAATAACGTGAAGAAACATCAGGTTCCAGATGCTCCATACCATGATTTTTTTACCCCAAAACTTGCTTCTCCTTTGTCACCTCTCCAGAATGCCCATAGGAACCCACTCTCCCAAAGTCCACCTGGCTATCAGGTGTTCTGAGTCCCCAGGTTGACCCCTAAGCCCACATGGATGTCCAGAGCAGGGACTCAGACAGGACAAAGGTCTTGACTCACATCTTTTTGCTCTTTTTTTTTTTTTTTTCTATTTCAGTATAGTGGCCATACAATAGTCACATTAGTGTCAGGAGTACAACATAGTGATTCTACAGGCTTATACAGTATGCTGTGCTCACAATTGCAGTGTCACTACCTTTGCTCCTTTTATGCCACACCATAGAATCCCTTGACCTTGAGTAACTTCAAGGTCAAGAAGGAGCAGAGCCGGCTGAAACTAGCCCTGAAGCAGACCTAGTACTAAAACTAGGAAGGCGAAAAGCTAGGTGATGGCCTACTGATTTATGGAAAGACCAGAAAACCAGGATATTAATTAGGATCATTATATCCTTTAATAATGAGATTCAGTTGACTTATAACCAGTTATAGGTGCACTGTCTTTAACTCTGCATTGTTAATTGTACTTACTCATTTTTACAGTTGCTAAATTATAAAATACGCTGTAGTTGTGAAGAAAAAAGAAGGATTTATGTGTGTTCTGTGCTAGGCTGTGTGATAGAAACTAAAATTTAAAGTGTTAGAGAGTCTACGAGAAAGCCAATGTTATTCTCTCCAACCCACAATCCTCAGATCCCCAGATGAGAAATCCTCCACAGAGAAGAAGGCCAGGACAGTCATCTCCCTCAGCACACACTGCAACCAGGCTTCAATCTATGGCTCAGGTCTCCTAAAGCAGTTTGTGATTCCAGAAGTGGCTCCAAATTTATGTCACAAACACCCCCCGCCCCCAGGAGACCTGGTTGTTTTGTTTTGCTTTTGAGAGAGAGAGAGAGAGAGAGAGAGAGAGAGAGTTGAGAGGGTAGGGACAGAGGGACAGAGTATCCTGACAGGCTCCACACTCAGCACAGAGCCCAACATGAGGGTTGATCTCACAACCCCAAGATCATGACCTGAGCTGAAATCAAGAGTCAGACTCTTAACCGACTGAGCCACCCAGGTGCCTGAAGACCCGCGGTTTCTTAACTATATTTAGTCTCTGCAGTGAAGGAACCAAAATTATCACCATAATCATCATTAATTTTCACCAACATAGTGGTTGACCTTGAGCAGGTTACTAATAACCTTTTGCCTCCATTTCTGGTATGTGGCATATGAGTTAGAGTAGTTTCTACCTCCATCACACAGGTCCTCACACACACAAAGTATTCAATTCCTATCAGCCACTGGTGGTACCAATCATAGTAGCATGCAGAGCTCAAAATTACCCAAATGCGAATCTTTTATCTGACCCAGGGATCTCCTACCCTAGTGCAGTTTCTGACTCCCAGGCAAGCTTCACCTATTTGGTTTCTCAGAGAAAATGGAAACAAGCAATGATTTCAGCCCTCAGATACAACCCTCTCCACTCCATACAGGAAAGGCACCCTGCCTCCTACATCATAGGCTGTCTCTTGTTAATCAGCTGCACATACATATACACACAGGAATATACACAGAGCCTCGATGACATCGAAGAAAGGGTATCTTAGCAGCTATTATAAGACTCTTCCTTGTGAAAGATGTTGCATTTTTGTTTTAGAAGAAAAGGTGGACAAAATATTTCAGCTAAGGGGTGAGGCTGCAAGGAGCAAGTACAACTAAAAATAGATGCTTGCTCTGCTGCCTTCCAAAAAAGATAGATTTTTCTGGTTGTGGGAACTTTGTTTTTGTTGAACTCCCTGGGGTCTTGGCTCTATAAATCCAAGGACACAACCTGGGAAGAAGAATTTGCTCTGCTTAATAAAGAGATGAAGAATTTGGAGTTCCCCCAAAGAAAACCTAGCAGGTAAATCCCCAGACAGAGGCTTCACCTTGGATACATAAAGGAGAGGGTGAGTCCCAGAAGTGATGGGGATTCAGTGAATGAGACTTTCTCTAGGATTGAGATAGATGGTGAGAGAGTCAGTGCTTCTATCTGCTGGTAGCCTGAAGCAGGGTGAGAGAAAGACCAAATGGATTCAAGTGAAATCCAAAAGACCTATAGTGGGCCCAAATTAAAATAGATTTAATGAGGTCTTTGCACCTTAACTAATCAACAACAATTTATCAATTACTGCTATGGTAGTTTATGCATTACAAGATGCACATTCTTTTTCACGCTTTAATACCTTTGCAGTCAGGATTCACCTTACAACTAATGGGGTATTAATAGCAATTGACAATTTGGGTGTTTTTCTTTCTTTCTTAGAGGTAAGGAGAAGCATGATGTGTCTTACAATCAGTAGTATCTCAGAGTTTTTGGAATGTGCTAGTTTCTTCGATAGATGTGCCAATGACTCCAACTCTCCAGACCACGATTCACAAATACTGGCATTATCATAGTCCTCAGGGTTACCAGGGTAGATCCTGGGCAGCTAAGACAAGCTCTGTTAATTTTTCATTTAAACTGACATCTCCCAGAGTTCAGAGAGTTCTTATCTGATCCCTATCATGTGATGGAGCACAGAGCAGAGGCAAATTTAATTTTACCTGACACCTTTGGCACGGGCTGATTAGCCAGCTGACAATGTGCTTTGATTAACTCACTGGGTCATAAATATTTTGATTCTTTCCATTTTTGGATTACCACAGGAAAGGCAACTTGGAGCACTGCTCCACTATAAATGAGGAATTTTAAATCCACTTATTATATTCTCTCTCTGCCAAACTCACTGTCCGTTCTTCCCATTCAGTTAAGGAAACATACATGATTTTTCTTTCACACTTTTCTTCTCAAAGAAGAGATTTGAGCTTTCTGATTTCATCTCAGCCTGGTGGAGACTCTGGAGGGAAAACATCCAACACAAGGTCTTCTGTAGATGAAGGAGCACGGCCCCAGGAGACCCTTCTTCAACAGTAAAACAGACTTTTAGTAAAAACTCCAAGACACACAGCACAGATACCCAGCACACCTACAATCACTCACACACTCACTTATATACACATGCTCACACACACATTTCTTGTTAAGGATCACAATTTTTGCATCTAGATAGACTTAGAGACAAAACACCCAGCATGCGTAGTTAAGAGAACTGCTGGCATCTGTAATGCAGTAACATTAACTAGAATCATTCATGCACAAAGGCTTAAAAGATGACTAACAGAGAAAGGGCGCTACAAGAATTTTCACTGAACCTTGTAGCTTGGGTGAAAGAGACTTCATCAATAATAGCCAGACTCCTCAATCATTCACTATGTCCCAGGCACTCATGCACAATATCATTAACACCCAAGACGATCCTATAAGGAAGGTTCCATGGTCCAAGAGAAAATGTCATGAGCCTGAGGTCATAAGATCAGCAAGCACTAGGGCAGAGTGTCAGACCCAGGACCATCAACTTCCAAGGTGCCAGCTCTCTGCCTTTGCCAGGTTGCTTCTCATTGTCAGCCATCGTCTCCTTTCTCCAGCCCTTGAAAGAGTTTTCCTGTTCTCTCAGTTAGCTCTGCTTCTCAGAATGAGACTACATTGGCAGCATCGCCAATCTCCAGGTGGTGAGTAACCTTCCTGCTTTGCATCTAACCTTGTGTTCCCCATTCAGTGCTGACAGGTAGGAGCAGTGCCTCCTTTCTGAAAATGTCACCGAGCCATCTTCAAGGAAAAAGGCGATGCTGACATTCTACTTTTCCTGTGACTCCCTGGAGAACGTTTAATCCCCATGACCTTGTGGCTATTTAAAAAGAGCCAATCCCCAGACCTTGTCAGTTGGTGACAGCCAGCATTTTGTCTAATGGGCCCGAGGGTGGGCACAGTTTGCAGTGGGGAAGGGTAACATCTGGCTGGTGTTTAAAAAGCAAATGCGGTTTCTCAATGATTATTATTCATCAACAGTATTCAAAGGCATGTTTTGTCTGCATTGTTCTTTATAGAGAAAAACAAATCCCAAGCACAGATACTCAAAACTCTACATTGTTTTTATGATGAGCTAGCAAGAGGCTGCTTTCTACTAAAAAATCAGAGGAACTCCAGTTTGGTTTTTATGACACCAAAAATTGAATATTACAGTATTATTAAGAAATATTAAAGCATAATAGCCATGGACATTAATAACTACCACTTAATAAGCAAGACAGTGACCTTGGTGATTTGCATTTTCCCATCATCTCCTCATAATAACTTTCTTTGTGTGAAAGGATTTCCCATTTAACAGATGAAAAACTGAGACTGAGTCAGAGACCTAGGATGGGACTCCACTCTGAGAAATGTTTGCCAGCTGCCTAAGACAAGGTTAGTATAGAAACTATGCTAACTTTAGCAACTTTTGCAGGCATTTAACACTGCCATGACAACCAAGCAACAGCTCATTTTTTTTCTAGTATTTTGTTTTTTACTTTTTTTATTGTACAAAAGTATCAGTCTACAATGGATTGGAAATTAAATAACAATTTGTCCTTCACCACAGACGGTTTTGAAGCACTGTTCCAAAAAAAAAAAAAAAACTCTTGCTCTGGAAGGATGGTCAAATTGGTAGGGAAAAAAATAGATTAAAATGATTCTCATTTGCCATTTAATGATTAGTCATCCTTCATCGAAGTGGCTAGGGTGTCTGATGGGGCCCCAGTATCTGCATTATTTGACACCCTACTAAAGATATAAGGTCTGGGAACGGGGCATTTGTAGTCCTTATTGTTCACTAGTCTGGTACTAAAGAGATGTTTCACAAACGTTGGTGAGTGTGTGAATAAGTGAACAGCTTCTAATGGAGACACATGCTTAGAGGCGTTATCTTCCACATTCCCACCTACCGTCAAGATTTTACCTATGTCAACAGGTTGAAGATTTCCAGGAACTTTCATCATGGTAGGTAAGAAAAGCAGATAAATAAAAAAAGGTAGAGATGATTATGAAAGTCTAGGGAAGGATGGAAGCTGACTGTGGAAAGCAAGGATTGGCCCCTCAAACATGGCCACATCCTGATCCCTAGAACTATGAACATGTTGGGTTACATGGTAAAGGAAGGATAAGGTCAATGATGGAATTAAGGCTGCTAATCAGCTGATTTAAGATAGAGAGATTGTCCTGGGTTGTCTGGCTGAGCCCTGTGTATTATAGGGCCCTTCAAAGTAGAGGAAGGAAGAATGCTGAAGGAAGAAGAGTCTAGGTAGAAGAATTGAGTGTTGGGCCTCAGGGGGAGGACATGCTTTGGCATGTTCCAGGAGCAGAAAGAAGGACTGAGTAGCTGAGCTGAGGAAGTGAGAAGGACCAAAGGAGATAAGGCTGGAGAGAGAAGTGAACAGAGGTCCATGAGGGTCTGGGAGGCCACCGCAGGGCACTGGGATTTATCCTATGAAGCAGACTTCCATAAAAGTTTAAGCAGGGGGATAACACAATACAATAATGAGCCGGGGTTTTATAATCTCCTGGACACTTCACAAGGAGCCCAGACTCAACCAAGTTGATTCAACTCAACACTGAAGTCATCATCTCACATACATCCCAAGTCAGTGATACTGAGATTCACCAAGTCATCCACCCAGAATCCTGAGAGTTAGCTGAAACTTCTCCTTCCCAACCAAACTCATCAACTTCTCCTCCTAAGCAGTTACCCATACACATTCTCTATGTCATGTCCATGCATTAGGGAAGAAGATCTCATAACTACCCCCTAGCTGGAGGCCTTGCCTTTGCCACTGTCCAGTTCTAACTGTCCTCTGCCCTGCAGCAAAGCTATGTGCCCAAAGGCAAACCTGGCCATTCCCTGCTTTAAACCCTACAAAGGCTACCTACAGTCCACAAGATGACATCTAACTCCTGGAGTCTGCACGAGGGTGAGGCAAGTGAGACACTTTTCCCGGGAACAAAATTTAAGGGGGTGCCAAAATAGTAATCAAGATGAATAACATGGGCAGCCCAGGTAGCTCACCAGTTTAGCAATGCCTTCAGCCCAGGGCGTGATCCTGGAGACCCAGGATCAAGTCCCGCATCGGGCTCCCTGCATGGAGCCTGCTTCTCCCTCTGCCTGTGTCTCTGCCTCTCTCTCCGTGTGTGTCTCTCATGAATAAAATCTTTTTTAAAAAAAAGATGAATAACATATAAATAACTTTAATGCAATATAATTTACAAAACAAAAAAACTTTGCATGTCTGAAGTATATAATTCAATAGTTTGGTATACTTACAATACTGTACAACCATTACCATATCCTAATTTTAGAACAGTTTTATCATCCCCAATAGTGGCCTTGTACCTGTTAGCAGTCACTTTCCAGCACCTTTGCCACTTGGTCCAGGCCCAAACAATCAGTAATCTACATTGTATCTCTATATATTTGCATATTCTGGACATTTCATAGAATGGAATTACAAAGCACGTGGTCTTTAGTGACTGGTCTCCTTCACATAGCATTTTTCAAGGGTCATCTGTGTTGCCAAGGATCAGTAGTTCATTCCTTTTTTTATGGCCATATATTATTGCATTGTTCGGATATGACACATTTTATTGATTCTTTCTCCAGCCAATAGATATCTAAGGGTTTCGATCTTTTGGCTACAATGAATACTACTGTCAATACTCATGTGCAAGTTTTGTGTGGACATATGTTTTCATTTCTTCTGGGAGGATACCTACATATGGAATTGCTAGATCACATATCCCTATGCTTGACTTTGTGAGGAGCTTACAATCCGTTTTTCAAACTGGCTATACCATTTTACATTACCACCAACAACATAGGAGGATTGCACTTTTTCCGCATCCCCACCAAAATTTATAATATTCTTTTTTATGATAGTCACTCTAGTGAGTGTGAAGTACTACTGTATTGTGGTTTGGGTTTCCATTTCCCAAATGACTAAGAATGCTGAGCATCATTTCATGTGATTATTAGCCATCCATAAATTCTCTTTGGAGAAATGCCTACTGAAATCATTTGCCCAATTTTTAATTAGGTTACTTGTCCCTTTATAATTGAATTATAAGTTTCCTTATATATTTTAGATACAAGTCCCTTATTAAGTTTATGATTTGCACATATTTTCTCTCTGTCTTTGAGTTATCCTTTTCCTTTCTTGATAGTATTCTTAAAAGCACAACAATTTGAAGTCCCACTTATAACTTTTTCTTGGGTTGCTTATGGTTTTGGTGTCATGTCCAAGAAATCGTTGCTTAACCCAAGAACATGAAGATTGATTCTGGTATTTCCCTCTGGGAGTTTAATAGTTTCAGCCCTTACATTTAGGACTATGATGTACTTGCAGCTAATGTTTGTGTATGGTGTAATGGAGGGGTCCAACTTCATTCTTTTGCATGTGGATACAGAGTTGTCCCAGGAATGTTTGTTGAAGAGGCAGATAATATTTTAATGCAATAAAAACAAGATAAATAACAATCTGTGCTGAGCCATATCAGATCCTGAGGCAAAAAGGAAAAAATCAGTAATACTGACACATTATTATTTAAAATTTTGATAGTTTTATCTTGATTACTTAGTTTTTAGAGCCTCTTTAAATTCGGCATCTGAAGTAGATGCTTCACTCACTCACCTTCATCACAGTCCTGATGACTCCTAAGCTTAGCCTGTGAAAACTTCCCCACGCTCCCTCCTACCTGCTCTTTGAACCACCTGCATCTCGGCCCACCATGCCTCAGTTTTATCATCAAAATACAGTTTTGTTCATGCAGATTTTTTCAAATACAGATTTGACCATGCTGTGTCTCATTTATATCACACTGTTCCCTTGGCTTGGAACATGTTTCTCACTCTCCATTGCTTAGCTCTTCCCCATCCTACAAGATTGGGTACTAACCCCACCAGAAAGTCTTCCTTGAGCTTCCAATTGGGTTAAATTGCCTTCATCTGTGCTCCCACACTGCCTGGTCTTCCTACAACATACCACTTATCACACTTGTAATAATTACCTTGTCTTCTCTCCCCCTGGATCACATTCTTTGTTCCCTCTGTCCAACTACGTATTATCTAATGGAACATTCCCAGGTACTAGAACAGTGCCTAGAACACAATAAATGAAAAAATAGATGTCTAACAGTTCTTCTGATGGGAATATAGCAGGGAGAAAGTAATCCCATCTGCCTAAAGTGAAGAGAGGTTTTTTTTTCCTCCAGGAACCTTGAAGAAGGGTGAGAACTAAGTATCTGTTGCAGAAGTCTTGTCTGCTTGAAAGTGAGGCACCCCAAAGAGCTGTGCCCCACACAAGAGCTCCTTGATGACACTCCTATGATAGAAGCAAAGCCTCCCAAGAACTCATTAGAAGGTCAGTCTAGGTACAGGAGGATGATACAGAAATTCATTAACAGGCTGGTTCTAGAGGTTCACAGGTGAGGCAGGGAAGTGGCTACCTCCAGAGAGCACTATAGTGAGCAAAAAATAAGGACAAACTCCCATTGAGATCATTCCATTTTATTCATTCATTTATTCATTCACTAACCAAGAATCCCATAAATATCTATGAATCATCGTTTGCAGATTGTGCTGGGCCCCAAAATAGAGGTGTCAAAGATCAGACTCCTACTAAGATAAACTCAGAATCAAGTAAACTGGCACAAACCTACTATATGCAGGTGAGATAGCAAAAAGATAAGGATTTTGACCACAAAGCCCTGCCTGCAGTCACCTTACTGGATTCTTCTGGTTGTCCACTGAATCCACACTCCACCTTTATCCACTCTACCATATCCTTGGAGGCTAAACACCTTAGACAATACCACTGGGCTCCCTTGCTCACTGACTTACAACTGGCCAATGTTGCACAACAATAGAAGTTTGAAAGGAGAGAAGCAATCAGGCATGTAGCATTTATTCTGTTACTATGGAACTGCTACAGGACTGCCATGGGCTAGTTTTGTCCAAGGTCAGGGACCCTGCTATGGGCTTCATTCCACACAGACCCTTGACTCCTAATCCTCTTACCCTTCTCTCCACACCTTCAGACCTACAATGGCAACTAGATTTCATAGCCCTATAGTATTGGACTGTTCTTTGTGCTCTCCTGAAACCCTGATCCCAGCTTTGCAAATAGTCCTTTATTAAATTATTCTCGAATTACCTTAAAATGGGTGTACCATCTGTTTCTCACTGAGATCTCGACTGATACAATGAGCTCCTAGGGGAGATGTGACAAGAACATCAATAAATGGAGGATGGAAGGAGGATTCCCTTTGGTCATGTGAATGAATACATATGGCCACCCACCAGGGAAGGGGGGCATGGGGAAGAGTCAAACCAATGCCTTGGGATTGTTTACATTCTCGCCCAGGAGGCTAGACCAGTGCAGGGCACTGATTAAGGATATCTGGCGGTCTACCCTTAAAGGTAGCAGATTTGGAGAGCAGGGAGGGTTCCTTTCCTCCAGAGAAATGCCTGGCAAACAGTGGCTTTAAGTTTTCTGGGAGTAGACAGCAATGAAGCATTAATGAGCTTAATCCTTCCAGGTCACTCCCTCTTCCCATGCCACCCTGGAGCCTCAGAGTAAAGGAAAGGGCAAGGTGATGCTCTAAAAAAGGAAATAACATTGTTTCCTAGGAGCTGTAGAAAATATCAGTAAATAAAAGAATAAAATAGAACTCAACCAAATCATCTTAAAGAGACAAAATGATTTCCAAGGCCTATAAAAGTTTCTTTTATTTATTTATTTATTTATGACAGTCACAGAGAGAGAGAGAGAGGCAGAGACACAGCAGAGGGAGAAGCAGGCTCCATGCACCGGGAGCCTGACGTGGGATTCGATCCCGGGTCTCCAGGATCGCGCCCCGGGCCAAAGACAGGCGCCAAACCACTGCGCCACCCAGGGATCCCCCTATAAAAGTTTCTTGCAACATGACATATCTTGGGGTTATCTAGATGTTTCCAGGGTGGGAACATTCACATTAGGAAGAAGTATATGGGGCACCTGGGCAGCTCAATTGGTTAGGCATGTGACTCTTGATTTCAGCTCAGCTCATGACCTCATAGTCATGGGGTTGAGCCCTGTGTTGGTCCCCATTCTGTGGGAAGTCTGCTTAGGATTCTGTTTTGCCCTCCACCCCTCCCCCCATTCTCTCTCTTTCTCTCTTTCAAATAAATAAATAAATACTTAAAAAGAAAAAGAAAGAAAGAATGAAAGAAAGAAAGAAGCATGCATCAGGCTCTTTCAACACAACATCACCAAGGGTCCAAATTATACTATGCACATCCCTCTTTCTGTTCCATCTCCCTCAAAAAACTTTAGTATTATTGGTTCCCCATGTTGTTTTCCTGTAAGGAAAAGGGTATCTGATGTTAAAATAAATACATTTGGCATCAATTTTTATTATTCCTCAGTCTTCTATAAGCACTGTTAGCATGAGTTGTTCTCAAGTCCAGTGGGCTCTGGAGCATTTGGAGCATATGATTTCCCAAAGCCAAGGTCAAACCCCTGGGCTAGGGAGAAGTCATGAAGGTCAGTCCTGGGCAGAGGCCTCTTGGCACACATGCACACGTACACATGCACACGCACACACACACACACACACACACACAATGGTACCTTGGTTAGCCCTGTCTCTCTCATCCCTTTCTTGCCAATTGATTACTTGACCAAAATTCTTGACCTTACCTTAATCCATTTTCAATTCCATAGATTGATTTTGCCCCATTGTTCTTCTTGACTGAGTCTGTCAGTCACCGTATTTGCTACCTCTGTCAGACTAGAGTAATCCAGAAATTTGATAAACAGGCATGACCCAAGTGATTGATAAAAATGTTAAACAGGCAGCATTCTTCAATCCCTTCCTGGTTACTTTTATTTTAAAACTCTGGTCTGTCTTTTTCCTTTGAAATGTAGAGCCCAGAATGAAATGCAAAATTATAGATATGTAATTTGTGCAAGTGAGTGTGGCTGTCACCTCCCTCACTTCAGCTCTGTCCTCTTATTGACAACAGGCCACAAAGTATCTCTCTACTCCAGCATGAGTCAAATTGCTATCAGTGAAAGCGCCTCAATGGTTCTTTATCCTGCTGATATTAAGTCATATCAGTCCATCTTGTTGGTTCTATTTTGGACTCAAGCGTAGGCTATTTGATTCCTGTTCAATTCTGCTTCATTGTGCTTCAACTGTTGCTTCAGCATGTTGAAATCTACTGGGATCCTGGAACAATGGATCAGACACATTCCTTGACTTGTGTCTGACTCCCTAGCACCATCTTGTCTCTAGTTCTGTCTCTGTATTTTAATTCCAACAATATAAACCACTTCTGGGTCTCCACAGTGTCCTTCAGACTGGGAATTCACTGTGACCTCTTCAACACAGATAGTCTCAGATTAATACAAAGGCCCACACACCAGACTCTGACCCCCACTATTTTAGCACTGGTCAATGCTACAGAAGGCCCAGCAGTGAAAGGATCTTCTGAGGAGTCTCTGGGGCATGTGGGCAGGAGTTTGGGGTCCAGCCCTTTCTCCACACTTATAAGGCTATTTGAGCAGCACATGGTACAGCAGACTGAAAACACACTGGGAATCTGTCTGCCTCTCTATCTGTGGCAGAGCCTGTCACAGCTAGAGAGAGGCGGTTCATTACTCCCTTGCATCATTCTTTTCTTCTCCTAGGAACAGACTCCCTTTTTACCAAAGCACATATGACCGCCTGGAATGAAGACAGTATTTCCAGCTCCTTCACAGCTGGGAGTGGTCATGAGACAAAGTTCTGACCAATGAGATGCAAGAGGTGTGATGAGAGGCTTTCCAGAAGGCCCATCTCTTTAGAGAGATAGGGTGAGTGATATTTTGTCCTTTCCTGCTTGTGCCCACTGCCTAGCTGGAATGTGGACACAATGACTGATTTCCATCCACTGGCTTTTCCTTCTTAGGACTATATAGTGAACTTGAAGTTAGAGGAGGCTCTAGAGGCTTGTGGAAGAGAAAGATTGAACCTTGGTCTCAAAGCCACCATCCCATCCCATCACCAAAGGCCTAGACCATCTCTACACAGCTTCTTTTATGGGAGAGGCAAAGAAGCTTTTGTTAACCTAAGCCCCTTTCCAGAAACTGCTTTCAGCTGTATTCAGCTAAAGTTATCTTCGCTGTTTGATTCTGGAAAAGGCTCCTGCTCTCTGATCCTGTTTCTCCAACTGCAAGATGAAAATGCCAATATGACACAGAGGAGAACAGCACACTGGACACCCCATCCCTTCCCATTTTCTCAGCACATTCTCACTTGGCATCTGTCATAGGTCAAGCATTGACAACATGGTAGGAACACAAAGGCAAAAGATAAAAGGAATCCAGTCAATACAAGTTGTCTTATGATTATCTTTCTTACTGTTCCTTATTTTTATTTTTTCTCAATGAAAATGTACCAACGAACATGGTCCCTGCCTGGGACAGGCCCTGGGCCCAGGGCAAGTATATTCAGCAAACAATAATACAAAGACAACAAATATTTTTTCAGTATAAATATGTCACATGCCATCATTTTTTATACTGAAAATGTATTCATTGTTTATCTAAAATTAAGATTTAAAAAAAAACAAAAAAAATAAAATTAAGATTTAACTGGATGTCTTGTGTTTTATCTGACAAGCTTCCCTGGGGCTACCACAGCGAATAAGACTCAAATATCTGGTTCTTCAAAGAGTGCCTTTCCTTGTGGAGGGGATGGCAAATAAGCCAGTGGGCAGCTCAGTATCATCACTGATGGTAGGGTTGAGCAACATGAAGAAAATAAAGCAGCTTCAGTGTTCACAGGTTGTCAGGGGAGCACCCCCTCCAAGTAGTTGACATTTCACCAGAATGTTGAAATGGAACCAGCCAAGCCCAAGAAGGCTAAGTCCAGGCTGAAGAGCCAGCAAAAGCAAAAGTCCTGAAGTAGGAACATATTTAGAATCCCAAGGCCAGTGTCATCAGTGCTGAGGAGGGAAAAGTGGACCTGAGCCAGGCCATGTAGAACCTGTAAGTGATAGAAAGGCAATTGATTTCATTTTAAGAATAATGGGACACCATCAAATTTTATATAGCAGGGGAGTGATAAGATCTAATTTATTTATTTTACTTTTGTTAAGCACACTTAACATGAGATTTACCCTTTTAATAGTCTTTTAAGCGCACAGTACAGGATTGCTATCTATACACACAATGTTGTAGAGCAGACCACTAGCACTTACTCATTCATCACAAGTGAGACTTTATGCCTGTGAATTATGCCTGCGAATTAGCAATTCCCATATTCCCTTCCAACCCCCTGGCATCCACCTTTCTACCCTTCACTTGCATGAGTTTGACTATTTAAGGCACCTTGGATAAGTGGAATCATGTAGTATTTGTCCTTCTGTGGCTGGCTTATTTCACTTCACTAATGACCTCAAAGTTCATCCATGTGATCACAAATGGCAGGATTTCCGTCTTTTAGTTCAGAGAGAACTTCCTGCCTGCTGGGTGGAGGTGACACGGGGCTGGAGGCATGGTGACAGCTGCAGAAAGAAGAGTGGGGAGGCTTTTCAGTAATATATCTGAATTGATGGAGGCTTCAGCAGGGGCTGGTAGTATGGCTGGGGCTAATGACCCAACAGGTATGCATCTCCAAGACAGAACAGACAGGATTGGTAAATAAATTAGGGGGCTGCAGGAAAGATGTGAATCCAATATGACTTCTAGGACTTAGTCCTGAGTAACTTAGAAGGCAGCATCTCACATCCCAGTTGGGTGCGCTGCTCCAGTGAGTGCAGGGTGGGGGGTAGGAAAGTAAGGAGTCTTGGCTTGGCTGGGTAATTTCCATTAAATATTCGAATGGAGAAGTTGCCCATTCATGGTTGCTTTTATTACCCCCAATTTACAGGAAGGAAAACTGCATGACACATATTCAAGTCTGTCCAGACACAGCTTGTTTCACTAGACTGCATTATTTTAAACCTTTGCACCTGCAGAGGCGAGGCACACACTAAATGAGATCATAGATTTTTAAACTATAATGATTATGAATGTAGGATACTGTCTAAAGACAGGCCAGGGTGTCAAACCCACAGGGGCCAGGGTACAGATAAAATGTGCCCCGCTGTGCCGGGGAGCCGTGTCCACTGCATGCCAGGGTCAATCACATTTCCCAAGACAAGCTGCTCCAAAGCCAGGCTTCACACCATCACCTCTGAATCATTTACACCACCGTTGCTAAATAATTTACCTCTATGTAGATAAAATGGGTCCACAGGCTCCCCAAACATCGTGGGGCTGGTGCATAATTTACAGAGCAATGCTCAGCCTCCCCGTGCAGAGAACAATGAGGTTTGGCCACCTGCCAAAGTCGAGAAGGACATCAGCTGGAATAGATAGAAAAAGCAGCTCATGGAAGAGTGTGTCAGAGAAGCAAATGTACCTACTGAATCCTAGATTCCCAAGGCAAAAGCAAGACAGGGAAATATGAAGGTTAGGCTGCCATCACTCAGGGGTTGAAGACAGGGAGAGGGAGCACGTGGTTAGCATGTGTTTTGGAAGTCTGAGTAAAATATTACCGATGCCACACTTTTCCTGATTGCTGAGACCCAATCAATCAATGTAGTTCTTTGCAAATCTGCATTGCCTCTGGCAAGAAACATATTTAGCAAATATCCAAGCATTTTGAGATGGATGAGAAATAACAGCATGTGTTTGGGAAAAGAATAATAGGAAGTGCAATTTTCTATGCCTGGAATTCTTTCCTCTCAACCCCTTAGGCACTGGAAAAATTCTCCTCCTTTTCTAAGTAGCATCTCAATGGTCACCTCCTCAGTCAGTTGAGCATCTGACTCTTGGTTTCAGCTCAGGTCATGATCTAAGGGGCGTTAGACCAAGCCCCGCATCAGGCTTCATGCTCGGTGAGGAGTCTGCTCAAGATTCTCTCTCTTCCTCTGCCCCTCCCTGCATCTCTAAAATAAACAAATCTTTTTAAAAAAAAAAAAAACCTACATTTTGTAAATGTTGGTCTCCTATACCAGACAGTGAGCTCCCTGGTGACAAGGATTCTGTTTAAATCTACAATCCCAGGACACAATTGGGTCCTCACACACAGGTTAAATGTTTGTAGAATGAGTGAAGAAAACAAGACAAATGCCATGACTTGCAAAATCTTTTCCCCAACCATTGCATGGAGTATTGCTGCTTTGAATATCAACATTACGTTAGAAGAGGATGTCAAAATGTGTATGAAAGGAAAAAATTCATAGAGATCACCCAGCATCTTCAGAAACCATAATACATGTTGTTCTATGTGAACTAATACTTCCATTTTTGACAACTTTCAGCTTCAGCCCTTTGAATTTGGCATCTGGTTGGTGCTATAATGACCTGACTCTTCATTGCATGCTTTGGTTCCTAAATCAGACAGACATATTTTATTTTAAAAAAATGATTTATTTTTTTGAGAGAGAGAACATGCAGAGGGGAGAGGAGAGAGAGAATTCCAAGCAGATTCCATGCTGAGCACAGGGCTCCATCGCAGGACCCTAAGATCATGACCCAAGCCAAAACCAAGAGTCAGATGCTCAACAAACTATGCCACCCAGGCACAACACACACACACACACCCCAGATATATTTTCTATGTAAGTTTTCAGCCCTGTCGCTTAGAAGCTGCGCGACCTTCATTTAGTAAGTTAACTTCTCTGGGCATTAGCTTCCTTATTTATAAAAAAGACAGATTAGTGGTATAGGAATATTAATAGTACCTATGTAATTGTGACACTGTGAATATTAAATGAGATAATGCACATAAAGATCTTAGCACAGAACCTGACACATAGTAAGCATTAAATAAATATCGGCTATGCTTTCACTGCATTCCAAGACATATGATTTATACTGTCTCTGTACATGCCTTCTATTACATCTATCAGCACTATATAACTTCAGCTTGGCTCTGAGATTTGCTGTCTGAGTACCTAAATCCCACAATGTGTTTGCCAACCCCAGGCTCCATCCTTGTGGTGTTGACTTCTTGCCTATCTCTGGAAATTTCTAAAGATCAGGATTAAAGATTTGAATTATCTCAATTTATTTTTAGGTTACCAATCTATGCTACTTTGAATGAAACTCCTAACAAAGAACGGACCATATAAAGCCCCGGCTTACATCTCGGTTATTTCTACTTAATCCTAAAGATGTAATAACACTTAGAATTTAAATAGCATTTACTATACGCTTGACATTTTCCTAAGTGTTTTACATTTTGTCCTCAAAATAACCTATGCAATGCCAGCATAGTTCCATTTTGCATATGAGGTACTGAGGCACAGAAAGGTATCCATTGTAGGAAGGTTGGGCTTGTCATACTGTGTTCAGGGAAGCTTGCTAATTGGGGCTAGGTAATAAGTTCACATCCACGGGAAAAGGAAAATATTATCACCACCGAACACATTATCACCCCCTAGTCTTTCCCAGTGTCAGACATCACAGAAGAGGTGGTTTCTGATATACAACCAAGCTTTTTATAAAGCAAAGCTTAGATGAGCAGAAAGGAAGGAATCTCATTTTCTTCTGAGCTCACTTTTTAGCTAAGATTTTGATATAGCTAAACAGACTTAAAAGAAGGTAGGAGAAATTGACCTTTGTTTCAAGAAGTGTGTGGATGAGGGCAAAGCATGTAGACAGACTGAGAGGGACCCAAGACTGTGCCAGATAGCAGGTGTCTTATAAACCAAAATGCCAAGTATTACACTGCTGCTAGGGTTAATTCCTTCCTGTGATATGGGAGCCCTACTCTCCATTCTTGCCTGCCTCAGTTTTACTGTGGGGAATGAAGGAGTGGATTTAGATCCACCTTGGACACATATGAAAGTAAGATCTACAGTTTCTGAAGATAGCCTGTTGGTAGCAGTAATCATGAAAAGTCCAAGGGATGGGTGTGTCTTGGGGATGAGAAAGAACTATTATCCCCTACCTGTGGGAGCTCCCCCATCCATTACTATCTGAGGCAGATAATGATTAGATTTCATCAAAGGCTCTGGCGTATTTCTTTACCTGCCCAAAAGTGGGCAAGGCCCAGAGGAGAATGAAAATGGAGGCTCCTTTCAGCCAAACCTGGAGGCTGCTCTAGGTCAGCCAGCTGGGGTCCCAAGGGAAGAAAGAAAATAAATTAAACTCTTTCATCTGGAAAATAAATACCAAATGGCAAGTGACTGTGTGCACTGCATGACTAAGGAAGGGAGGTTTAATTCTCTAATTATTGCCTCTAGTTTCCCCATGGAGATAAATGGCAAGTTGGTGGGGAGAGATAATCAGGGCATAAATACTGTGTCTCCTTGTCTTATCTTACTTAATGAAATAATAAAAATATTTCCTCTTAAGTACTTAGCTCCAGCAAAAAAAAAAAAAAAATTCTTGAGATGATCTTTTTATCTTATGCCTGGTTCAAAACAAATCCACAGAGATTTACTGAGCAACTACTATGATACTGTATTCAATACTCACCATATTGAGCTCTGCTCAGAACACACTAACTCTGGCCTCCCCTGGACACACTTCTAAGAAATATTAGATCCCAAATGGGTTTTTAGAATATGCCTTTGTTTACAATATTCACCACCAAGAGTCTATGATTTCACCAATATTCACCTATGTTCTACTTGAAAGATTATATCTATTAATTTCCACGTGTTATATTTAAAATTTCCAATAAGAATTTCTTTCAAGAGAAGGGCCCCTGGGTAGTGCAGTCATTTAAGCATCAGACTCTTGGCTTCAGCTCAGGTCAT